AAATTAAATAGAAAAAGTTAAATTTTTAGAATAACCTAATTAAATAAATATACAAATACAATTATACTTATTACATATAAATTACACCATATTAAAAGCTTTGATATATTATAATACATTAATATTAAAGTTTTGATTAATTAAGTAAATAATTGGAATTATAATCCAATTAAAAGTGTTTTACATTTTTAATATTATTAAAAGAATTATTTTTGAATAAAATAGTATATTTGATTGAGTAATAATATATTTAGTTATTTACTTCAATTATCAAGTTCTAAGTATATTATAATAAATTAGTAATTAATTAATTATATATGATAAATTGATAAACATTAATAAATTTAATTACTAGTTAAATATCATACTTAATCAATTATAACATTACATTATAGTTAAATGATTACTTAATTAATTATAATTTTATAACATTACTTAATTGATTTATAGTATAATTAATTATAGCATTACATTAATTGATTACTACTTAATTAATTGACTTTATTATAAACATTAGTACAAACTTAATTAAATGATTAAAAATTTAATTAATTATAATATTACATTAAAAATTTATAGTATGATTATTTAATAGTTAATTCACTATAACATTACATTATAGTATGATTATATAATTAATTATAACATTACATAATTAAATAATTACTTAATTGATTATGAGTTATGATATTATGTTTTAAACATTAGTAATTACTAATTTGCTATATAAACATTAGCACAATACTTAATTAAATGATAAGAAATTTAATTAATTATAACATTACCTTATAAACATTTCATTATAAACATTAATTAAACATTACATTATAGTTAAATAATTACTCAATTAAATTATAATATTATTATATTACATTATATTATATGATCACTTACTTAATTATAGCATTACATAGTTAAATGATTACATAATTACATAATTAGTTATGAATTTATAACATTACATTATAAACATTAGTAATTTACTAATTTACTATATTATTACATTACTTAATTAAACGATTAAAAATTTAATTAATTATAACATTACCTTATATATTTATAATATGATTACTTAATCAATTATAACATTCCATTATAAACATTAGTATATTAATCAAATGATTTGAAATTTAATTAATTATAATATTAAATTATAGATTTATAGTATGATTACTTAATTCATTATAACATTACATTATACTATTATAGTATGATCATATAATTAATATAACATTACATAATTAAATGATTACTTAATTGATTATGGCATTATATTATAAACATTAGTAATTAATTTACTAATTTACACAATACTTAATTAAATGATTAGAATTTTATTAATTATAATATTACATTATAAATTTATGGTATGATTACTTAATTAATTATAACATTCTATTATAAATAATATTACAATACTTAATTAAATGATTAACAATTTAATTAATTATAATTAAACCCTAAACCCAAATAGTATGTTTGTTAGGGGTGTATTTGTAAACTTTTAAGGTATTTTTGTCATTTTTTAAACTAATAGGGGGTAATTGATTTTTTATAGGGTACCCTCGAAAGGAACCGGAGCCTGCATTTTAGGTTCCGGTTCCTTGAATTGAAGAACCTGCACTGTGCGGTTCCGGTTCCTTTTTTTGGGAACCTACACTATGCGGTTCTAATTCTGGTTCCCCCAAAAAATGGAGGGTACCCGGAACCTCTCACCCCTACCGTGAGCTTTTTAAAAGAAAAGTTTCCCTTAACCAGGTACGTGTGTAAAGTAGAGAAGATCCCTCTATCCAAGGGGCTTACATGAATGAGGAAGTTTAACTTCTTGTGAGCCTTTCAACTTGTGGGCAATGCTTAACTTGAAAGTAACATTTAACTTGCAAGTGGGAGCACAGTGAGGTGGCTCCTCAGATTGTTCTCCTGCTTCCGGAATGAAAAATGGCTTCTTGTCCAACAATGGCTAGGAGTTGGTGATTATGGGGGGATTGACACCCATAATCCCTCCTAATCTTGATATGAGTCAATCTTTGACCCATGGGTAGGCCTAAATAACCATTAGTATAGGGTAATTATTAGGCCAGAGCAATTATGGCTTAAATTGATGACCTTGTTGATTAAGTCACTTGTCTTTAAAATGATATAAGGGACGATTCCAGTTGCTCGGTTTCAGCTTGGTTAAAAGATAGATGGCACGAATCTGACAGCCCAAAGAATCATGCATATTAATGTGTTCTTGAGGCGATTTCGTGTCCTCACCCACGTATCCTCCACCTTGACCGTCGCCCATTGATGAGTATCCCAATTTAAAGGAAACTCTTCTTTATAGTAATTTTGATTTAATACTTTGTTCCCTAAAGGAGTTTATTGAATGTAAAAATCTATGGTAAAAGTATTAAAGCCCAAAATTTATGATAATCATATGTGCATTAATATCAGTGAATCTCATAGAGTATATATAAGTAACCCAGAACTTATAAACCTATTCATACACCAAAATCATGAATCCATAATCAAAACAACAAATGATTACACAAATTATATTAAGCCAAGTTCGTGCAATTGATCAGTCATTTATTAGTGAGTCTTTTATTCGTTTAGGTTTTTCATTGTTATATGATGATTTCATAAGTTAAAATTTTTAAGTTTCTAATATATCAAAAGATAAAAGAGCTCTTACACAATTAAATTAAAGCTATAAGTGTTAAACGGACTGAACTGATAGTAACACATTGAATTTTTTTGGGACTGATGTTAGTTATGCTAAACCTAGAGCTGAACAAAAATTTACCAATTTGTATTTAACAGTAAAGACGATTATCGTGGCAGCATTTGATCAAAAGTCAAGAAAAGAATGCAGAGAATCTCGGCAAAAATAAATCCAGAGGAGAATTTTAAGTTCTCTAATGGTACATTTACCTGACTGAAGATGTTAACCATCACCATCTTGGTTTTAATTCGGAGAAAAAGAAAACGAATGGTCAATATTAAGAACTAGTGGGGTATTAATATTGAAAGTGATGCTTATACGTATATGGCTGGTAACTGATGTCAAAGACTTTGTCAACAACTCTTCAAAGTCTCCTTCTTTGTAACTCATATAGTGTGTTCGATCAACCCAAATGCAAAAATAAGAGTTTTATGAGTTTGAAGCAAACAATATATTAACCACTTTATGTACGGTTGGATGACAAGACTTTTAAGTAGGTTATCCAGAGATCTGTGTTTGAATCCCACAGAGTAACCACCCGTCATATTTGTGACTTACTTGACCCATTGAACTTATAGAGTATTCAATAAATCCTAAGAATTAATTGAGACATACGTAAACTGACCTAAATACTTTAATTATTTTATTATAAAAAAACAACAAACTAAATCTATGTTAGATTTACTTCTTTTTTTTTTCAACTATTCATAAGAGTTTGTCCTTTGCATGAATGTACGATATAAGTCCTTTGGTCGCCCAAATAGCATTGTTTTAAAACCCGGACCGGAGGGCAAACTGCTCTGATGGTCGGGTCACGGTCCAACCGGTTGAACCGATGGTTTGACAAGTTTAAAATCTAACAAAAACACCCCTAATAATTACCATCAGACCCTAAAGGTTTGAAATCTAGCAAACACAACACTGACCAAATGCAAATCGACAATCGATTGGGAGAGAAGCGGCGACACACCAAGGAGGGTAGATCGGATGATGGGGAGGGCGAATTGGCAGCTAGCAAATAGAGGCATCGTCGGAAAATGGCAAATCGGTGGTAAAGTCACTGGTCGCGGTTGCTTTTTTTGGTGAGATGACTGGATCTTCGTGAACGACAGCAAGGGAGCTTGGGAGAAGGTAGATCAGTGGCTAAGAAAGTTTGTTGATGCCGGAGAAGGCCGATTGACGCCGGGAAATGGAAGAAAAATCTCGTGGCAATGGATGACGAAACGTCACGCAGCGGCTAGAGATGAAGCGTGACAGCACCGGAGAAAGTCAAAACTCAAAAGGTGGTTTCCGACAGTAAGGGAAGGTGGAAGATCGCCGAAAAAGGGGAGGTCATTGCCGATTTGCATTTGGCCAGAGGGTGTGTTTGCTGGATTTGAAACCTTTAGGGACTGATGGAGTAATCAGGGGTGTGTTTGTTATATTTTAAACTTTAAATAGTTAAGAAGAGTGAACCGACCCGAAGAAGGCCCTAAGTCCTAGTCCAACCGATTGGACCGGTCGGTCCAGTCCGGCTTTNAGTTTGAAGCAAACAATATATTAACCACTTTATGTATGGTTGGATGGCAAGACTTTTAAGTAGGTTATCTAGAGATCTGTATTTGAATTTCACAGAGTGATCACCCATCATATTTGTGACTTACTTGATCCATTAAGTTTATAAAGTATTCAATAAATCCTAAGAATTAATTAGACATACGAAACTACCCTAAACATTCTAATTATTTTATTACAAAAAACAACAAACTAAATCTATGTTAGATTTACTTCTTTTTTTCAACTATTCATAAGAGTTTGTCCTTTGCATGAATGTACTATATAAGTCCTTTGGTCGCCTAAATAGGCATATAAGAAGGTGATTATGTGACAAACTGAAAAAAAAAGTTCTCATTGCCCATATGATTTACAATAAAAAATTTCGTCAGAAAAAAACATATCTAAAATAGTGATTTTTCTAAGAGTAATTTTACACATACAAAGATAAAATCCTAAATTTGTATCCCAATTTATGTTGTAATTGATTAAGTTAATTCACTTACCAAATCATCCTATAATTTTAGAGATGCTACCAAATCCAACTACCACAAAGATTAGGATATAAATTTAGAATCTTATTGCCTACATGGATTTTTTGAATAAGACAGTTGTTCCCCTAATCCCCTATCTACATTATTAGTTTAATAAATTCCTATAAATTCTCCCATTCTTTCAAGAAAAATGTTATCCTTACAAAGACTCATACAAAGAGGGATACAAAGTGACATCAGCTGGAAGAAACACTTGAAAAAAAAGGTAAAATCCTTAGCATTCATCTATTATTTATTTATTTGTACCAATCAAGTCCACACAAAATTATATGAATACATTAAATAAAAAGATCCAAATCCTTCTAATCGTCACTAAAAGGTTAATACGGCTTGTAAGAAAATACTAGAAAACAGGTAAAACATATACAGCCCTGTCATTCCTCTAGTTAACCTATAAATATAAAACACAAGAACCAACCAACTCAACACAATGCTTCACCCCATCATTCTTACACATAACTAACAAATGCATCATCCAAATTTATCTCCTGCAAAAACCAACAAACATATATTATATTCAAACACAAATAGCTAGCGTTTCATAGCATTATTTTAAAAAGAGCAACCTAAAACCCACATTAACTTCTTTAACACAATCAAAAACTCACAAAAGCATCCAATCTTTTTATATATCTAAAGATGAAATAATTTGTGTAAGGTTCTCACCTTAAACTAAGGTGTATTGTGAGACTGATCATGCTCAATAAAATCTAAGGCGTCTTCTTTGGCGACAACATTGACTCGGCTCACTCTGTTTTTGTGTGTCACACCATATATTTTGTCAGCCACTTTCACAAGCTCTGGCCGAAATGTTGTTGTTATAAATTGAGTATTTGCCATGTCTGCTAGACGACGAATCATATCTGTATTAAATGATTAAGGATCTCCACAAGATAACCAAAATCCAATGCAGAAAATATCAGCACAATGCAGCCCTCAGCTTCCTTCTTTAATAATCTCAATGCCTCCATAGGCAGTTCTTATCCCACTCAAATAACTATCCAAAAAATCTTCAACACTATTAAGATCTCTATGCTGCATGCATAAACTCACAAAATTTAAAGCAATCCTTAAAGATAATTATTAAGCAATAAATCACACAGTATACTGCAAATCTCAAGTAAGAGCTATTGACTGCATCAAATAGAAAAGTCATAAGTCAGTATTTGTACTCTCTTCAGCTATGATTGACACCTAATGATTCCATAATGTCCCAGAATTTGTCCTTCCTAGTGACCCAGAAACAAAGAACTCGTAACTCACAGATATATGCAACACTATGAGCCCAAATATATGCAAGTGGTGCATGCCACGGCATAGGTATATTCTAACTGCCACTATTGAAAACCACAAATTACTCGGTATGCGCTAAGCCAGGGGGTGATGCAGGCTTTAATAACTATCATTAATAATTATCATTGGTCTTATGAACTAATCATAAGGAAAAATTCAATTGCATGTTTGACCAAATGAAAAAGGATAGAGATTTAAAGCTAAATCTAAACTAAAATTTCTACAGAAATAAAATAACAAAACCAAAAACCAAGGGAAAAAAACCATTAAACTAGAGAGGAACGATGCGTATAATGAGAAGGATACTTCCCACTGCAGTTCTGTACTGAGGATCCAGTGCTGCATCTATTTCATCAAATAGATAGAAGGGAGCAGGATCACATCGCTGTATGGCAAAAATAAGCGTCAGAGCCACAACAGTTTTCTGACCTCCAGACAATTGCTTCATCGACTGTGTCTCCCCTTGTCCAGTAAACGAAACCTACAACACCAAAAGCAAAATAAAATAATTAAAACTTGAACTCATAACCAAAATGATGATGACAATAGCTCCCCTGACCGAAATTAACTATAAAATATTAAACAATATACTGTAAATAACAAATACTAGAATTGCTTTGATATTTCTGGGGAATGCCATTCCAAGTGCTTCATATATATATATATATAATGCTTCCATAAAGAAGTACATGCCTTCACTTTAACACCAATGTATTTTTCAACCCTTCCTTCCATATCTACTTCACGAGGTCCATCATCATCATTGTCATCCTCACCATCCTGTGAAATATACCCAAAATCATTAACATTACTTAATAGATCTACCAAAATTAAGACGTGATTCAGAAAATATATTTTGAAACTGGCTTTTTCTGGAAAGGAAGGAGCACTTTTCATACTTTCAAGAATCATTGAAAATCAAAATTCCACTCAATCAGCTAACAAGGTATAATCAGATATAGCTCAAATGCTTCAACTGACAGCCCACTTTTAATACTTTCAAGAATCATTGAAAATCATAATGAATAAACAATCACTTTAAGCAAAGATTTTAAAAGGTTAACATGTTTATAGAGAAAACTCAGAAGAAAATTCATATGCACGCAAGGAAAGCTATAGGACTTCTAGTATATAAGGAAAAATTATTCTGCGAAATACCCAGGAACCCTCTTTTACTAGCACAACATCCACACAAGAAAACCTCTAAAACAAAGAGAAAGTTGCAGCTTTGAGATGTAAAGAAAAGAAGGTTATCTGAGTAATCAGAAAGCAAGTAAATTTTAACACATTGTAATTTTAGATGATCCTGACCCACTGTTGAGTTGTACAAATTAAATGTTTTAGGAATAGGAAATTAGATCATTCCCTTTCCTAGTTTAGATTATTTTATTTCCTTATATGGACTGTTGAATGTGTATATATTGTTGTATTTTGTTCACAATCAATATGAAGAAAATTCTTCTGATTTCATATGGTATTAGAGCTAAGAAATCAGAAACCCTAGAAAAATTTTCTTTTCTTTTTCCGACGATATTTTCCGACGAAGTTCAGGCTATCTCCTTCTGGTGTTGAATCACTCTTCTAACCACACCAGCCTGTTTGTCTTCTCCTCGCCGGCAAAACCTGAAAATTTCATCGCTAGTCGTCGCCGCACGCGCCGGTCTTCTTTCTGGCATCTTCTTCTCCGATCTCCTTCCCCAGCGAACGTGAGGTCTCACTACCAACACTTGTGCACTCAAGCACCGCCAACGAGCACACCCATCACCGTCCGACGTTGCATTGTCATCACCGGCGCCGAAAATAGCCCACTACAGTCGAAATATCCTCTTTTTCCGATCTGCCCAGAATTAGTTTTGTTTTTCAGCCCAGATCAGTTCAATCTCTCCCACAAGACAATCATGCTTCCTGAAGGATCCAACACCAAATCAAGTTCTGTTTCTTTTTTGTCTTTTCCTTTGATCACAACTGAAAAATTAATAGGCAACTCCAATTATTCCTCATGGGCTGCCTCTATTGAACTATGGTGTATGGGACATGGTCTGGAGGATCACTTGACCACTAAGGCTGAAGATGTCACAGATGATAAGACTACCTAGATAAAAACAGATGCTTTGGTATGTGGTTTATTATGGCAATCTATTGATCCTCACCTTCATTCTAATTATAAAATATATCGAACTTGTTTTGAGGTATGGCGACAGGCCAAATTGCTTTATACTAATGATATCCAAAGACTCTCTTCTGTTGTGTCCAATTTGGTTAATCTCAAAGCAAGATATGGGCATGTCTAACTTTCTTGGCAGGATGGCCTCTCTCAAGGCAGAATTTAATTTGTTATTACCCGCTGGCAAGTCTGAAGCAGAAGATTTGGCACAACGAGACAAATTCTTTATGGTTCTTACTCTTGCCGCTATCAATTCTGCTCTCACTCCAGTACGAGATCAGATTCTAGCAAGTGCTACTGTGCTTTCTCTTGATGAAGTTTTTGCTCGATTACTTCGAGTCTCCTCCCCTGGTGTTGTGGTTGGATCTTCCCTAGTTGATTCTTCTGTCCTGACCTCTCAGTCTCAAACTTTTGTTAAAGGAGAACATGGGGATCGTAGTGGCAAGGGAGGTCAACCCAAGTGTAGTTATTGTCATAGGTGGGGGCATATCCAGGAAAAATGCTACAAATTACATAGGCGTCTCCTCGAGTTGCCAATGTCGCTTATCCTAATCATCATTCTGAATCTTCTAAAGAACTAAGTCAGCCATCCTTGACTCTTACGGGTGCAAATTATGACGAATATCCCCAGTTCCAGGCAAATAAGCAATCTTCTTCATATGTTGCTTCCATCGCTCAGTCAATTCATTCTGATGTCTAGGGTCCTTGTCGAGTCTCATCCATTTTAAAAGTTCAGTATTTTCTTATGTTTATTGACGATTATTCTCGTTGCACTTTGTTATTTTTAATGAAAAGTCATTCCGAATTATTTTCTATATTTGAATCCTTTTGTGCTGAAATTAAGACACAATTTAATGATGTTATTCATATGTTTCGGAGTGATAATGCTCGTGAATATTTTTCTACTAACTTTACCAAATTCATGTCATCTCAAGAAATTCTCCATCAATCCTCTTGAGTTTATACTCCACAACAAAATGGAGTTGCTGAGCGTAAGAATAGACATTTGATTAAACCTGCCCGAACCTTGCTTTTACACAATCGGGTTCCTTTCCAGTTCTGGGCAGACGTCGTGTTAACTGCCTGTTTCTTGATTAATAGGATGCCTTCTTCTGTCCTACAAAACCAAGTCCCTCATTCTATTTTGTTCCCTAATCAACAGTTATACTCTCTTCCTCCACATATCTTTGGTTGCACATGTTTTGTGCATATCCTTTCCCCAGTTACCAACAAACTGTCTATCAAATCTACCAAGTGTATTTTCTTAGGATATTCAAGACTTCAAAAGGGTTATAGGTGTTATTCTCCATTCACTCGTCAATACTTTCTATCTGCCGATATTACCTTTTTTGAGTCTTCTCCTTTCTTTTCTACACCAGAGAGTGATTCTATCACCACTGTCCTTCCCATACCCTACATTGAATCTACTTATAATCATCCTGCAAAGTCTGTTACTATTCCTCCAAGTCCTACCCTTATGGGCGAGTCTCCTCCTCTAGATGATGCTATTGTTTAGAGTACGACTACTGACATTGTTCTTGACGATGTTCCTGAGGCTCTTGTTCCCGATCCTCCTACAGCATATTCCTCTCCTACTGCAGCCCTACCTCCTGAAGACCAATTTCCCATTGCAATTCGTAAATGTATGCGGTCCACTCGCAACCCTCATCCGATCTATAATTTTCTTAGTTATCATCACTTATCTCCATCATATTATGCTTTTGTGTCAACCATTTCTTCTGTTTCTGTTCCTTCTAATGTTTGTGAGGCACTGACTGATTCTGGCTAGCATCAAGCTATGGTTGAAGAGATGATTGTTTTACATCATAATAATACTTGGGAATTGGTTCCTTTGCCTCCCGACCAATCGCCTGTTGGTTGTCCTTGGATTTATACTATCAAGGTTGGCCCAGATGGTCAGGTTGATTGACTGAAGGCACGATTGGTTGCAAAAGGGTATACTCAAAATTGTGGGTTAGATTATTATGAGACCTTTTCTCCTGTGGCTAAGATGTCTTCTGTCCGCTTGTTTTTATCTATGGTTGCTCTCTGCCACTAGCCTCTGTACCAATTAGACATTAAGAATGCCTTTCTTCATGGTTAGCTTCAAGAAGAAATCTATATGGAGCAACCGCCTAGCTTTGTTGCTTAGGGGGAGTATGCCTTGGTATGTAAACTTCGTCGCTCTCTACATGATTTAAAACAGTCCCCTCGTGCCCGGTTTGGACGATTCAGTAATGTCATTCAAGAGTTTGGGATGATTCAGTGTGAGTCTGATCACTCTGTTTTCTATAAACATAACTCATCAAGGCAATGCATATATCTGGTTGCTTCAGAAAGAAATCTATATGGACCAACCGCCTGGCTTTGTTGCTCAGGGGAGTTTGCCTTGGTATGTAAACTTCATCGCTCTCTATATGGTTTAAAACAGTCCCCTCATGCCTGGTTTGGATGATTCAGTAAGGTCATTCAAGAGTTTGGGATGATTCGATGTGAGTCTGATCACTCTGTTTTCTATAAACATAACTCATCAAAGCAATGCATATATCTAGTTGTCTATGTCGATGATATTGTTATTACAGGAAGTGATCAGGATGGCATTAAATAATTGAAGACACTTGTTCCACCACTTTTAGACCAAAGATTTGGGATTACTTAGATACTTCCTTGGTATCAAAGTGGCTCAATCTAGCTCAGGTATTGTTATTTCTCAAATGAAATATGCACTGGATATTTTGGAAGAAACAGGGATGTCAGATTGTAGACCGGTAGACTCTCTTATGGATCTTAAGTCAAAGCTCTCACCTAGACAGGGGGAGCCTCTTGCAGATGCTAGGAAATACCGAAGGCTGGTTGGTAAACGTAACTATCTCACCATTACACGACCTGATATTTCCTTCTTCGTCAGTGTTGTTAGTCAGTTTCTACAATCTACTTGTGACGGTCATTGGGATGCAGTTATTCGGATTTTAAGATATATAAAATGTACACTAGGCAAAGGTCTATTATATGAAAACAGGGGTTATACACAGATTGTCGGATATTCTGAAGCTGATTGGGCAAGTTCTCAATCTGATAAGTCGTTCCATTTCAAGCTCTTGTATTCTTGTGGGAGGAAACCTTGTATCTTAGAAAAGTAAGAAGCAAGATATCGTTGCCAGATCGAGTGCAGAGGCAGAATACCGTGCAATGGCTCTAGCAGCTTCTGAGCTCATTTGGTTGAAGCAACTAATCCAAGAATTGAAGTTTACAGAAGTAGTAAAGATGAAGTTACTTTGTGATAATCAAGCTGCTCTCCATATTGCCTCCAACCCGATGTTTCACGAAAGGACTAAGCATATAGAAATTTACTGTCATTTTATCAGAGAGAATTTTATCTGGTTGTATTACCACTAGTCATGTCAGCTCAAATGATCAGCTAACAGATATCCTCACTAAATCAATTAGGGGTCCTCGTATTGACTTTATTTGTAACAAGCTTGGTGCATATGATTTATATGCCTCAGCTTGAAAGAGAGTGTTGAGTTGTACAAATCAAATGTTTTAGGAATAAGATCTTTAGAATAGGAAATTAGATCACTCCCTTTCCTAGTTTAGATTATTTCATTTCCTTATATGGACTGTTGAATGTGTATCTATTGTTGTATTTTGTTCACAATCAATATGCAAAAAATTCTTCTGATTTCACACCCACAAACATAAAGGAAGAAATGTATCCCAAGGGTACAACTCCAATTTAGTGGCATAGAGATACAGAAAATATAAAGACGTGCAAGNGTGTTGAGTTGTACAAATCAAATGTTTTAGGAATAGGATCTTTAGAAGAGGAAATTAGATCACTCCCTTTCCTAGTTTAGATTATTTTATTTCCTCATATGGATTGTTGAATGTGTATATATTGTTGTATTTTGTTCACAATCAATATGAAGAAAATTCTTCTAATTTCACACCCACAAACATAAAGGAAGAAATGTATCCCAAGGGTACAACTCCAATTTAGTGGCATAGAGATACAGAAAATATAAAGACGTGCAAGAATTTATTTGAAAGTTCAAAAAATAAATGCTTCTAGGAAACAAAAGAGAGAGAGACCTTTTTTTTCATCATAACTAGATGACCATGACCGCCTTGCACAAGTTCAGCAAACACTTCTCGGAAGTGGCGAGCAACACCTTTGAAAGTACGTTCTATTGATTCATCCTTCCTTTGATCTAAAACCGCTATAAGTTCTTTAATTTTCTGCAAAAATGTTTTAGAATAAAGCAGCTCAAATCTTTCAACTTAACTAAAAGTAAAAAGTTCTATATAGGAGAATCATTTGATTGTGATTTGAATTCATTAATACCTCGTCCCCTGAATCCAGTTCAGCTTGCCTTCTCTGAAGTTCTTCCCGTTGCTCTGTGAAATTTACATACTGATCAAGTGCTTTCTTATTTACATGACTAAACTGCTGCAGTTGATCATTGCACCTATGAAGCATTTTATGTAATTCTTTGATGCTCTTTCGCGTATACCTGTCAATTCCAATATAAGGGTAACAAATTAATAAATTAAAATCAACAAAAGCACGTGTTAGAAAACAGGACCAAATATCCTCACTGGGTATATACCATGTGACCTAAGGCTGACCCATTCTTAATAATCATATCTCAAATATATTTATCATTTACATTGAACAATAAATTAAGAAGTATCAAACCCTAAGGGTCTAAACCAATCCAATAACCATTATCTTCCAAGTCTAGACAACTTGTGACCTATGTATGAAACAATTCTGGCATAAGTAATAAAATAATAGAAACTTCAAACATGAGACGAGGACTATACGTTTCAAAAGCATCAGATGATAATGGACCCAATTCCCTAATTTTCTTCGAGTACTCCTCTTGCTTAGCTAGAAGAATATTTCTTTTATTCAATAGTTGTTCAAGTTCTCTTGCATCATCCTGAAGTTTCTTCTCATATTCGTCTTCCAAAGTCTGCATTCACAATGATCATTTTAGCAAGAGTAATAAGCAATCTGTTTTCTCTGTTAGGAAATCAAAGATTGCATTAGAAAAGCAGAAAATTACAAGACGATGAACAAAGTTTCCCACAAGATAGGACATCCTGAAGTTAGTAAAACAGTATTATGTACAATACAAACACTGAAATCATGGCAGAAAACCTCTAGGCATGAACTAACCTTCAACTTAGCCTTTTCATTTTTGATCCTCTTGACTTCCTTGGTTAATTTATCTAAACCGTCAGAGATCCCTGCAAAGCAATACCTCAGTGAAGACATGACACAATAACCTCAGCTTCATAATTAAAGACTTCCATGGAAAAATTAAGAAAATTCTCACCTTTATGTTGCTGTTCTGCTTCCTGAACAAATAATTTAGCATCCTTCAATTCCTGTCTTTTTAATTCAGATTCACTAGGCAGCATGTCATTCTCTGAAGAAGCTATGAGGGCTTGCAACTCTTGCTTCCGCCTCTTAAGGTTAGTTGTTAGATTAGTCTCAAGCTCTGCTTTTCTTGTTTCAGTCTATAAACAGAAACTGTATTATATTAGTATATAAATGCTTCCTTCAAGTTGGAACCAGCCAAGAAGGTTCATTATCCTACCTCCATGCGATTCGTCCTGCAGGTGATAAGTTGCTCCTTTAGATCAGTTATTTCAGGGTTCAGACGTGATAGAAGATCTTTTTCCTCTGGTGTTAAGTGATCAATGAGCTCTGTGCCCATTTCAGCCTCTTTCATGGCCACACTAGCTCTAAGTTGATCAATTTGAGTCCGCACATCAGCAAGTGATTTTTCCTACAAACAAGTGAAATAATCTGAATGAGCAGTGCAGGCTGTAGGAAGAAAAAAAAAATCACGAAAAACTGCTACCAGTAAATGCTCAAATGCCGATCACATAAAATAATCTTAAGATCTGAAAATACCTTATTTTCAAGGGCTTTAGAGATGATTTGTTTTTGCTTATTAGCATTTGCAATATCCTGCTTAAGCTGCTCCAATTCTGATTTTTCGTGACCCCGCTTGGCATCAATTCTCTGTTGTTCAGTTACAAGGTCTGTAATTTGCTGGTCTACTCGTAAGATCACTTAAGTTAAAGAATATGCAAAGGTATTCATGAAAAATCCTTTAAAATCATGATCAAAAATAAATGAGAGAGTCAGAGCACGTAACTTTCATTTTTCAGTCTGCAAAAATCGACATGCTTATTTGATTAATAACTTTAAGAGAACAAAGTGAATCATTTCTAAAGAGTGGTTCAGTTGCAGCAGTAAACAAAGAGTCGTGCAGGAGAAAAAAATTGTGGTTTTCTTTTTTCTTAAAAGTAATTACTGAGTGTGGCATGCCAACAAAAATTCGAATATACAAAAATCATAGTTGAAGCTTTCTCAATATTCTTAGACTTGGTCTTTCTAGCAAGAAAAAAGCAAAGCAGTTTTTTCTAATATGACATCAAGGAAATCTTTATTTTAATGTGATGGAAGTAACAGACAAAGGTTCTGTCCGCTCTGTACTTAATATCTCCACCACATTCACACATGTCCAGGTGTGATAAAGGAGGACTGCAATAGACAGCCAGTAGTACGCAACCCAGTAGTTATGCTTCCTTGCGCAAAAGGAGTTCATGGAATCTATTCCATGTAATAGTGAACTAAAGCTTGATTGTGTGAAATTGCATTGAGCTAAAATGTTACTTGGAACTTTCTAAATTTATAGAAATCAGGGACAAAAGAAGTTTCAAAACTTTGTGAAAGACAAAAACATTTGCACAGAGAATGTGGTATTCTTGTTTGATGAAGGTCATCCTCTACAACCTTAAATATTGTATTAGGTGGTTAATTAGCTACAACTCCTTAGAATATCAATATCAGATATAAACCAATAATGATATGTCTGATGTAATACAATGCAGCTTACATGTAAGTAAACATGAGATGAACCAACAAGTGTTCATGCATATGTACACACTTCAGGAAAACAATTGCAGAAGTGCAAAAATTTCGGGGAATGTTTGTTTTTGTTTTCACAAGCTCCATGTAACCAAGATTTTCCATTATGCAGAATAACAAGCCATGATCTACCAACAAACACAGGTAAAAAGAAGTTATGCGTATATATAGTAAGAAACCTAGAGTTAAAAAATAAGACTAAAGCAGTGCTTTAAATAATGTAAAAGCATAAATCAGAAGGATATCTTGAAGCATAAATCTAACTTGTTCCAGTTCCTTTTCTTTTGCATCAATAGATTTTTTGTTCCGTTTGATTATATTCATAAACTTCAATTTTGAGCGCCTAAAATCATAAAATCCTCCTGTCATACCACCTTTCTTGCTTACTTGGTCACCTGTTATCGGATCAGCAGTTACTAAAACATCAAGGAGACAGACCAAAGTCACAATAAACAGAATAATACAAAAAATATATATGCAACCTTCCAAGGTTATGCAGTCCAGACCATCAGCTCGAGCAACTCTAGCACACACATCTAAATCTCTGCAAATCACTGTTCGAGCAAATACCTAGAGAGAGAAAAAAGAACAATAACAAAAGCCTGGTGAAACATCTAGACCTTTACGAAAGAGGAAAAATAACACACTAGATATTCATGAAAGAGGACAATATTATCCAATATTTAACAAAGCCAGACAAGTTTAGCTTCAACTTTCTCTTGCTTGCACAAAAGTTCTTTTTTTTTTTTTTTTTCTTCTTTTTTGATAGTAAACTTAGATGTGTATAACTGTGAAAAAAACTTGGATACTGGATCATAATTTTCAGAAAAATGTATTCCTCCAACAAACTGTAACCGAAAATATGAAACCAGGATAGTGTTTCTTTTTCTTGATAAATTTATTTTTCTTCACTGTCCAGTGATATCTTTTGGTGGACCACCGTACGTACAGAAGCAAAAATTCAGTGAATCAGTCAAGTCACATGTCCATCATTTGTCATGGAAAACAGTTTTGCTTTTAGTAAAGGGAAGAAATCCAAAAGCCTGTCGAAGTGTGCTGTTTGGTTTTGTTATGAGGAAAAAAATTACATATAAACAGTCCCAACAGTTTCACCCACTGAATTGAGGAGAAAGAACAGTTTTGTTATATCTGCAGTTTCAGCTAACTTTTTCTTAATCATATGACAGTTTCACCTGCTGCAGCTAATATCCTCAGGATCTGAATTCAGGAGAAAACCAGGTTAAAAAAATCTTAAAGGAAATTTGCAGTTTCAGCTTCATTATGAATGGAAATGTTTAAATTCAGGAGAAAAACAGATTACAAAACCCTATAGAAGTGTGCAGTTTCAGAGAAAGACGAAGAAAAACCAGTTACCACAGAACTCAACTACTAAAACAACAAAGTCATGCATGGATCAAATACCAACTTGTGTTAAAAAAGATATATGTCAAGTTAGAATTTAACCTGGGCAATTGCTGGTTTAAATTCAGGAGAAAAATTCAATTTCTCCAGAAGAGATACCACATCACGACTCCTTGGATAATTTACATGAGGAGCCCTCACCCGATTTAATGGTATAAAGGTAACACGTCCACCTCTTAATGAATTAAGGTGTCTAATTATTTTGGTCGATGTTTCATCAGTATCAACCACCACGTGAAATAAGCTGCTCAAAAATCAACAGATATCAAAACAACAAAATTTCAAACCTGAAATCCACAAAAAAACTGGCAAACACACTATGCATATGTCAGCTGATTATATGGAGACATTAAGACAATGCTCAAAGTCAAGATCCAATAAATTATTCACATACCTGTTTCCAGCGGTAACCTCGACTGCAGTGAAAAATTTTTCGTCACAATCAAGCAGCTCAATAATTGGACCATAAACTCCAGCAATTTCGTATTCATTGCGAATCCGACGGATAGAATTCAGCCCTCGCCTCACATCCTGAAAAGATTACACAGAAAGAGTGTGAGTGAAAGTTTGGGAACATTAGTTAGGAAACAACTAAATTTAAGAATCAAGCTCTGCAACGGCTTTCATTACTATCTAACTGTCACGAAAAATTAAAGAAAACAATAAGATATTAAAAATCAGGGAAGAAGAAGAAAAAGAAACATAAGATTCAATTACCTGGACCCCTCACAGTTACAAAATTGAGAGGATCTATCGATGCGAGATTCAATAACAGCAATGTTTATTTACATAAAGTAAGCTATTAGGATTATATTGAAGATTGCCATATGTCAGTATTCTAATACTGAAATAGATTTAAGATTTGACATCTTTATCATATAACGATTTTCAGGTATCCAAAGTGACCTTATTAAAGAAATCCAATGTAATATTTGAATCCTCCACAAGGAGATATATGAGAGCTTTCAGATTTTGGAATTTAGTAATGTAGAGGGTGTACAAGAAGCCAGTTGGACCGAAGGGGTTAGACTACTTTAGTGAAGCGGTATTATCAACTATAGCTATTATATTATCTGCCTTTTAGAAATTCTAACTAGAGTTGCCAGAAGAAAGGAAAATCTAATTAGAATTTTCTTATGAAAAAGGCATGTTTAAGGCAAGCAAATACAAATAAAGCTTGAGGTGATGATTGATTATTGACATGGCAACCCGAAGAAAAAGAAAACCGCATTATTGAGGAAAATGTCATTGGAGGTTCAGTAAGAAAGAAATTGTTTTAGACAAGCTATAATTAGCAGTAAATACAATTTCTAATTTGAATCTCAAGACAGCATTGTATTTCTTATCTTTCGCGGCTTAAAGCATATGAGGTGGCCATAAGATTTTGGGCAGAAAAGTGGATAAGTCACTCGCTTATTTCTGTATACTATTTCCTCATCTTTAAAGCTCCCATAATGTATCCATCAACTGTTTACTGGACTCAGGTTCATTTAAGGGAAGTGGATGAATAAGGTACATCATTGTGCTTGATTGTCAATGTTTTTACGAATTTCAATATCAGGGATTCTACAGCATGGAGTCATCAATACTCCGAAAAATTTCCAGATAAATAGTTTTAATTGGTTAGTTGATAATACATTTATTCTATGATCCAACCGAGACGACTTGGGATTTGTGGCTTGTTCCCCTCAGTAGTGCATAACTGCATATGCTGAGGAAGGATGGAAAGAATACAAATATCTTTCTCACAGTTGCATTATCTTATCTCTTTAGAGTTACTAATTATCTTTTTCACATTTTCTCATTGGAATTATGGAACTTTCTTCAAGTATTTTGATAATGATGGAAAAGCATTCATTACTTGGAATGAAAAAATTTATGCTCCAAATTTTAAGGCCTTCAAGGGGAAAACAGATAAGCCCTTTGAGAACCATTATGTAAAGCTTAACACAACTCCTTGTGCTGAAGCCCAAAAGAGTGTTGTATAGGTGTTCATCATGCATAAAAAAGTTTGGGGCTACCATAGTGGTAATCCTAAATTTATACTTGTAAGCATTGTAAGCATTTGCCACCAAAAATTTTGAGAAAAACTTTAGCATGTTAGAGGATTGGTTAAGCTCTCCTCTCTCTCCTCTCTTTTCCTTTCCCTCTTATTTCTCTTTTTTCAACCTGTCTTTCCCAGTTTCCCAGTATCCATCTCTCGCTCTACTTATTAACCTCTATTCTTCACTTTTTTCCCATTTTTTATCTTTTACCCTATGCTTTTCTATAAGTTCTAAATCACAACAAACTGATTCATGATTAGCAGCAATAAGCAATAGAGGAAAAAAAAAAAAAAGGGTTACTCACCCCAGGGGTAGCATGATCAAGGCTTTTCTCTGCCTTCTCAACTTCAGCTTTCAGCTTATCAATCTCTGTACAAAGTTCACTCTCTTTCACCCATAAGGACCTATACAAGTATGCAAATTAGTCATACAGAAAGACTTACAATGCACATGAACAATATTAAGCGTGAAAATCATACTTCCGCTTATCCTGCAGCTTGTCCCTCTCGGTCTTATGGTTATTGAAAATTTCACGAGAGTGAAAATTGTGAGATTCTAAAGTCTCAATATTGCTTTTGACCTTCTCAATGTACATGTCCCGCTCCTTTAAGTCAGCAATAAGCCGATGAATTTCATCCTGAAGTTTTTTCTCCTGAAGCATATAAAAGAAGACATATGAACATTTTGAAAATAAAAATAAGTAGACAAATTACATACTGAGAATGTCCAAAACTAGAAATTATTTAAAAAAAGCTAGCAAAAGATGAATGTAAGACACTGGTAAAGACTATGGAATACAATTCTAAACAAGATAAAACCGGAGTTGGGATGAAGGGACAAGCAATTCATGCACGAGCACATGCAAGAACAGACTGAGAAGCAAATGTATGTATGTACGCAGACAGATAAGCAGTTAGATCCCATTTATCTGGATTTGGTTCCTTCATAAAGTGGGAATTATAAACTTCATTGGCAAGTCAACACTAAAGAAGATCCGATTAGAGCAAAAGTTGGCTACTAAATGAGAACTCTGGATGATTAAACATACACACAACTCAAGACCGTAAAGTAATATACCTATTTACACGTATTAAATGAAAAGTTTAAAATATAATTTAAGAGGTTAAAAAAATGTGCCAGCATGGTGACTGAGGAAATTGGAATGGTTAAAATCTCGATGATTTTTCCCCCTGTCACTGTTCGTCAAGCAAGTCAAAGTAAATAAGCTTGTGACTTGAATCACAGTTAACTCTCATACAAAATTTGCAGTAAACCTACATATTTCATAATAAGAAAAGTTAGGAACTTACCTGAACCAAGTTTGAAGAAAGAACCCGCTCAAGATCATCAATTTCTTTTTGAAGCCATTTATCACGAGCAGCTTTACTAGAAAATTGGGTGGCACGACCTTGTTTTTGATAAAGAATGCTAAGCTGCTTTTCACGCTCCATGATACTAAACATCACCAGAATCATTCATGGACAAACAGATATAACATCTATCAGGACTCTAAAACGATAGAATTGATTATATTATTTTAAGTAGAGACCACCTTGATTCACATGCAGATTACTATGGTGAATGTTGCAAAGCAAGGTTCAGAGAAGTGAAAAAAAAAAAAAAAAATATATATATATATATATATAATGGAACACATAGAAACACACAAAATGTAAAGGAATAAGCAGAAAACATAGCATTATATTAAAAGAACAATTAATTAGTACAAAACCCTCTCCTACTTTTGAATTGCAGAAACAAGAACTTTATGTGAGAGTTCAAGCCCTAAAAGTAGAATTGGGAAGAATAGGTCAAAGGCAAAGAAACAAGGGAAGACTAAAAAAGTTTGGATGAAGAAAGAATGGTTGACAGTATACACGTATAGGCTGTAAATCTATATACATACCCTTTTGTTATCTCTTTTTCCTTTATGCCTTGTTCCTCGTACTCTGGCTTAATCTTCTCGAGCTCCTTCAGTGAGTCCTCAATTTCTTTTTGTAGCAAAAGAAGTTGTTCCTCAGCATCCACCTGAAAACATAAAATATTTAATTAACTCATGCGGCCTCATAAACACATACAAATTTATACTAATGTATGTCACCAATATACTGAATTTCATTAGAATATTACTTTTGCTTGCGAATTTCCAGAAATCCTCTCGTCTAGGTCTTTCACATCAAGCTCAAGCGCTGTCTGCCTCTTCAGTGCTTCAGTTTGTCGCTTTTCAACTGTTTCTTTTTCTTTGTTTAATGCTTGAACTTCTTTCATAATTTCTTTCAATTTCTTTTCTTCATCCTTGGACTTTTCATGAGCATCCAGCACACTGTTATACATCTTAGTTGATATTTCAGAACGCTTGGTTCTAGCTTCTTCAACCTGATCAAGGAGAGAAATATAAGCATCAAACCTACGGCCCTAATAAATCAGGAGTTCAGACCCTCACGCAGAATCTAATTACAAAGTGAAAATTTATACTGCAAGCAAATTAAAAAAGTTAAAATAAGTTGGGCGCTTGAAAAAACTCCTCACAGAGGATTTTACAGGCAACAAATCTATTTCATTTTATTTTTTAAAAAATTGAGAGTGGACAGAGGGGAACCACCAAATGGAGTAAAGACAAAAGATGCATATTAAGATTAGATAAAGGTGTAACAGTACACTACACACTAGCATGCTTAACATAATACAGACTGCTATTTATCTGAAGTATTACCTACATTGACTAACCCTTGAATGACATAGCACTAAATTCTTCAGTTTATAAGAACAAATCATCCATTGCAGAGCAAGAAAATACTCCAATCGTTTTATGGGTGTAACTGTAACCTAAATTTCTACTAGCTGTCAATTTTTTATCCGAAGTTCTATACGGGAAATGCTAAAATTAGAGCCACAGGATCAAACAACAAGCATTAATAAAATTTCTTATTCCTTAAACCAAACTCAATTCTCTAAAAACCCCCTACAAAGTTTTGAATTTTTAACCATTCAAATAAATTGCACAATGCATATTGCATCAAACAAAAATAAACACATATACATATATGTCCATGCAAATGCAAATGCACACCACAGCCTATATATTTTAGGGGTTCTGTTCTTGCTCCATATTTTTTATGTTTTATTACAGTTTGCTTTGTCAAAGGGTAGTTTAGACTTTAACTTTAGTTTGTTATAAGGGTTTTGGCCTCCTGTAAATAGGAGCCTAGTCTGGTATGAGTATATTCCCACACAATCACGAGTTAGTAACAGAAGATGAAAAGCTGGTAATTAATTTGATCACTTTCTGGGCCTCAGGCATCAACCCTTTGACTGCATATCCTAATAAATTTACATATTAGTCATGAAAAAGATGGATCTTCAGCAAGCCAAATTTATAGTGGATATCCTGTATGCATGACAGAGCAACACTTTTCAAGACTAATCTTAATCAAGGCACATAAACCTTAGCATCACTAAATATCAGATTTAACTGACCTCCACCAATTTCTGCCGAGCATCATTAAGTTCCTTATCATAAATGCTGTATTCTAGAGATTTCCTCTGCTTGTCAAGCTGCTGGTATTTTCTCAGCTCTTCTTTCTCTTCATCCAGTTCCCTGAGTCTCTCATCCAAGTAGTTGACAACTTGAATTATCTGCTGTCTTTTGTTGCCTAAAGCAGAAAATATACATGTTATGTTACATACCACTGCCATAGGAACAAGAAAATAAATAACTCAATGACTTGCCAGTTTCTTGCATAATTTTCAAACTTTCACGACGTCTCTCCTCATAAACTCGGGTGCCACCAATTTCCTTAAGTAAATCCAGCCGCTCAGAATCTTTCATCAGTGTCAAAGAAGCTATCTATTAACCAGAGCAATGAAAAAATTAAAGACATACAACATATAACTACAAAAATTTAACTGATAACAATAAATTTAAATACGCAGAAGCATCATACCTTTCCTTGCTGCACTACATAGTACGGATTAGAACGAGAAAATCCAGCACTCTCCAATAAATTCATAACCTCAGTTTTCCTGCAAATTATGTTATATTCAATTTACTAAAGCACACATTAAATATAGAAAATAGATTATCACCAAACCCACGAAAAAGGAAGATACTTACGTGATGTGCTTTCCATCCAAGAAATATTCATCCTTCTTCAAACCAATTGTTCGACGCAAGCGCACTTCCTCCTTATCAACCTGTCATGGAGTACAGAAGCAAGAGTAACATTTTACTAATTTCAATTAGAACAAAAAAAATCCCCAGAACAGCCCAAAAGCACAACCACAGTCAACCCACAGCCCCAAGCCAATTTAGATGAATAAATAAAAAAGAAGTATCTTCGTAAGTGTTTTGAGACAGAAACCCACAGAAAAATCCCCTAATTTGACAACATAACCAAGGTACCCTTGATCCACCTAACAATGGATGATCAACATACTCCCAAAAACGTCACTATCAATCAAATCTTATTTATTATCCAGAAAATTTACTATACTAAAAGAAACTTTCCTAATAATCTCCTTAATTACTCTTGTTTTCCCATGATTCCCCAAACCCCTAACGTTCCAACTCACAGTCTTCATGACGAAACTGCATCATCCAAACAAAAATCATCAACTAGAATAGAAGTATACATTTCAAAAAGGGCACAATCTATGAAGGTGAGGATATCGTTTACATAAGGAGAAATATCCTATCTCTTTTTCCTATCAAAACTGGATATTGTTGCCACTACACATGAAATAGGCAGTATGAGCAAAGAAAGAGCAATATTCCTTCAAGATGGCCACTCTCAAGCAATCACTTTACCTCTCTCTTTGTCCATTTGTCGATAGATGGAAAGGACAGATAATTTGTGGATACCAGCTAATCCAAAAAGCGTAGATATACAACTTTTATAACTCATACATATTCATTCAGAATATAGATCAAAATAGAAGACAATATGTAATAACTTCTTTACAAATAAAATAATTCTGTCCCTTGATAATAAAAGTCAAAAGTCAGAATTTACATTCAATCACCAAAGACAAGAAAAAGGTTGCAGAATATTACCGGGATGCGATTGTCAGAATTATCAAAAACAATCTCCACAAATGCAGATAAAACTTGGTGCCCTGCACCTTCCTGCCCAATATTAAAGTATTAAATTCAACCATATCAAAATGATCAGAAAGCATGATAACCTGAGAATGAGTAAAATGGTAGTGAAACTTACATGGAGTAATGAATGTCTATCTTCACTACGCAAGTTTTGGAAGAGGTCGCTCAAAACAAAACGAATAGCTACAATTTAACATCCAAAAAACAGGTTGCATTAAAAATAAAAACTCCTGGTCAACAAATAAAAACTACATAGTAATGACCACGCACTCAGTTACTCACCATGGAAAAAGTTTGTCTTGCCAGATCCATTAGCACCAACTACGGAAGCCATTATTAAAAAGGTGTAGAAAAATTTATTAGGTATCAAGTTAAATCATCATATTGAACTAAAATAAAGATAGAAAATGATATGCATATCAATAAAACTAAAATCTAATCTTTCCATAATATTCCAGGTCTTTAGCCATTTTCATTAGATTCCATTTTGTTTGGTTTCTAGTTTTGTTCTTGAAATGATTGTGGTTATAGAGGCATTTGTGGCTGTAATTGTGTACAGTCCACCTACTTTGCAGGTGAGGGAATGTGCTAGAGCTTAAATACTATTTGCTGGAGCCTTATCTCTAAGCTTAAGCTTTCAGGTGGAGTAATTACTTAACAAAAGAATGAAAAGACAAAGGATGATAAGGAGGACATCATTACCAACACAATTAATTTTTGGGCTGAAGGGCTCAGTAGCAATTTGTTCTCTGTAGCTCTTAAACCCTTCAATTATAACCTGTATTGAAACCCAGTATTAAATAGTTCAACAACAACATCGAAAATAATTAAAAAAAAAAAAACCTTAAAAAATATTTAGTACATGACTTTATCTAAGATCCAGACGTACCTGTTTTATGTGCATGATGAATTACCGAATAATCCACCTTCTATCGGAGAACCAAAATAAAGTATAATCTTCAGCAGCAACAACGAGAGCCAGAAATCATAGATACACTGCTAAAACAAGGAAATCAATCCTCAGCACCTCCAAAATGCTAACCAAACCATGATTCTAAGCTAAACTCCACGTAACCAGTATTTATAAGAAGCTTTTATGCCTTTTGAGTTGCTCTTAAAACTTAGAGAGTGTTTCAGAAGCATAATTAAACCATTACCCAAAAAATACTATTACAAAATTCAAGACAATTTACAGCTCACAAACGAAGTCAGAGTTCACAATTTAGCTCCAAAGGAAACACAAAAGTGAAGTCAAAATCCATTGACAATTCAAATAAATGTAAATGAAGCAGAAGTCGATTCTAGGGTTTCAACAACTGTAACTTAAAATTTGAAACAAAGCGGCAAAAGAGAAGTTACTGCGAAAGACTTACCAATTGACACTCTCAATTGAGTTCACGCGCACGAGAGATGGTGTTTTGCTTAGACTTGAATGAAATGAAGGAGCGATGGTGTGTCAGAGAAATTTATGAGAAAATTTAACTCTCCGGCCCTCCCAAAGTTCTAATTTAACAAAATGCCTTGGAAATGTTTTTCATTTTTTTTTTAATTTAGAGAAGTTGACGTGGCACAACTAAGATTTATTAAACATGTAAAATAAGTTAAAATGAAAAGATTAAAACATATGTGGACAAAATTATAATTAATAAAAGTATTTTAAAATTTGAAATTTGAAAGTTTGTCTCACCCATTCAAATCGCTGATTAGGACAAAAATCAATTTCTTAAACCCTTAACGGAGACTTTGCGATTTCCGATCGAAACTCCAAACTTTCACACCATATTCAATCCTAAAATCGATTTCTTGAACCGTAAACGGAATCTCTGTAATTTCCGGTGATACAATCCAGATTTCCGATCGAAACTGTAAATTTTCACACCAAATTCAATCATAAAATCAATTTCTTAAACCCTAAACGGAACCTCTGCGATTTTCAGCTACACAGTCCAGATTTCCGATCGAACCTACAAATTTTCAAACCAAATTCAATCCTAAACCATGGCTGACATTCACAATGAGGAGGAAAACCCAACGCCACTTCGAATACTAGAGTCCGGTGGCGCAAGCAGTTCAATGGCTGCTCTAGTGGATCATCCGATCAGTGAAAGTGGTCCACAAGCAGAGGAGACGACAACGGCACAACAACAGAGAGAAGAATCGCAAAACAATTCTGAAGAGGAGGAGGCCAGCGAGAATTCAGGCGACAAGGAGGAGTCCAGCGAGGAGGAAGAGGCCGACGAGAATGCAGGCGACGAGGAGGCCGACGAAGAAAGGCTACATATTTGTTTTGGGAGTATTGCTCTGTACTGTCACTTAAGCGATCATTTGTATCACTTAAGCGATTCATCTCTTTTACTCATTGTTGCTTAAGCGATCTTGTCCGAGGCAGAATCAACATCTGCCTAGATCTAAGATCGCTTAAGCGATCATTTGTATCGCCTAAGCGATTCATCTCTTTTACTCATGGTAGCTTAAGCGATTCCAAATTGATTAAACGATCTTGTCTGAGATAGAATCATCTACCCAAATCTAAGATCGCTTAAGCGATCTTTTGTATAGCTTAAGCAATTCATCTTTACTCTTGGTCGCTTAAGCGATCTTGTCCGAGGCAAAATCATCTGCCCAGATCTAAGATCGCTTAAGCGATCTTTTGTATCGTTTAAGCGATTCATTCAGTTTACTCTTGGCTGCTTAAGCGATTTCAGATCGCTTAAGAGATTTTGCACGAGGCAGAATATGTTAGAGTAGATGCCTTAGAGCCAATCAATTATTGTAGAATTGACTCTTTGTAATAATGTTCATTAATCAATAAAAGGCATTTTATTCTATATCGCGTAAATCATTATTATTGCAATATGTATTGATATATGTCCTTAGAATAGTAGAACCATGACGAGGGTATCAAGTGTTTCAAATCCTGATAGTGAGAACCCTATGAGCACATATGGTGGCCATTCTAAAAAGGTCTGTAGCCCCAATATTATTCTGAAGTAAGGGCACAGATAATACGTTAAGGCTATCATAGTGTTGAACGACCCTGTCGAAAGGCAGTGACTGATCACACTTGTCAAGGTTGTTTGGTGACAACCTAGTGCAACACATGGGTGCTTACTGTAGGCAGATATACCGTAGCAAGTTCACTAGACTAACCCACCAAAGGATTTCATATGGATGGTAACCCCAGTGTCTATGGAACAAATCCTCTAACGAATGGTGGTGCATGTGATCCTTAGACTTGAGATCACCGAAGCGCCTTGTGCACCGATTGGTGCAGTTTGATACTAGCCTAATGCAGTTCTATTTAGAGCTGTCAATATGGTGGTGATTGGCTGCATCAAGGAGTGTATCAAGACTATTGTGGATTGATAGAGGATTCATCACTTCCGGGTACGGGAGAAGTTATCTCACGGCGCAATTCAGTATATGGCAATGACACTAAAACTGTGACCACGATGGGATTGAGTTGTTGCTCTATCCGGATTATAATACAAGTCATTGGTCTAGTAACTGAATACATAATATCGAGAGTAACCAAAGGTTGACACTATTTCTATGCCTTCATCTTGTCGAGATAACATATAATGAAAGAATCGAATTGTATAGTAACCATATCGTTGACAGGTAGCTACTTTGCTAAATCCGAATCTATCGGGTGGCCATGATGCCTTGCTAGGGGCCAATCTTCGTCCATGTATTAGTGAGATGATTAATTGGTGTTAATCGCGATACTATACACTGCCGGTATAATGAGAAGCCTATGGGTCACACACATAGAAGATAATTTAAGACTCAAAAAGAAAGAAGGACATTTTCGTCTTTTTAGGTGAAAGGGTATTTTGGTAATTTTACAGTACAATTAAATTTGCTGAGGTCATAGCTTTTATTTAATTTATTAGAAAAATTAAATAAGTGAAATTACGTTTAAATATGTGTTCGCATATATTTAATTAAATCATCATTATTGTTAAATGTTAATATATAGATTAAATATATATTAATTGATTTTAATTGAGATAATGATGAAACAAAAATAAAATATTTAATTGGAAGTGTTTGGTAATATGGGGTGTTTGGGTTGGAGCCCAAGCCTATTCCATATAGGAATAGGACAACTCAATTTACTATAAAAGAAAAATGTTATTTGTGAAATGGGTAAGATTTTTATTATTCACTTTTTCGTTTGTAAAAGAAAACCCCACAGCTCCATTTCCTCTCCCACGGCAGCATTCCATTTTGCCCAAAATCAATTCATTTGATTTTTTTCTTCTTTAATCTTAAAGCTAAGGAGGATCTAGCAAATCTCTCCTTAGTTCTTTGCGATTGTCTTCGTGTGGACTATGTAGGTTCGATCCTACACTTGAGTCGGTAGCAAAAACGTTCATTGGCAAATTTGGAGGAGCCTCTAAACATGCGTATGTTTTTCTAAACTCATGATTAATTTTCTGCAGATTTCCACTTTAATATAAACTGTAAAATTGTACCTTTGATCTTGGCTCAATGGGAAAGATCATTGTTATTATGTTTTTTTTGTTTTCCGCTACGTATATGGACCATTTCCTAATAGAATCAAGATCTCTTAAGCAATTCGAAATCGCTTAAGCGACCACAGAGGTAATTTTTTGTTGCTGATATTTTGTTTATTAGTTGTTTTGGTTTATTTTTGTTGCTGATATTTTGTTTATATTGATTGTGCAGTCTGTGCAGACCGTAAACTATAAAGACTACGGGTTGGAAATTGTCAGCGATAATGTACCGTACTTCCCTGTAAGGGTGATGGTCAGGTCGAGTTGAGATGTTTTTGAGAGAATAAAGGGGATTTTAGGTGGATTGAGGAATGGTAAAGAACAATTTAAAGAGACTTGTTTCGGTCAGTTTTTTAAAATCGGAACAAATTGGAAAAAAGGCATTCTGGGGATAGGGAGTGCATTATATGTTGCTGCACTCAGCCAAAAAAAAAAAAAAAAAAGCAAGAAATGTGGTTCGTGGTGGATGGAAAGCCACTACGTTTTGGAATGATGGAATATGCGTTGGTGACCAGCTTAGGATGTGGGAAAATGCCAAATGAGGATGAGGCAAAGGCAATAAAGGAGAGTACGGCAGCCAAAAGGTTGGCTAACAAGGTTTTGCAGGGGAAACGTCTACCACAGGATGCGATTTAGAGCAGAGGATAGAATTTAGAGAGAGTTCGGTTTAGGGATTCAAAGAAGTTCAAATTGTGCTTGGTATTGTTCTTACATTCGATCCTAATGGTTGGTGACTCAACAAAAGTCGTTGATATGGATTGGGTGAGGTTTGCAAGCAACTTGGAATTCTTTAATTCTTATCCGTGGGGACTGGTATCATTTAAGCGAACCATGGACTCCTTGCAAGGGAAAGACATGGCGTTAAAGCAGTCCCAATGGGTCGAGAAGGATAAATCGAGCACGTACAATTTGTTTGGCTTCCCATGGGCAATGCAGGTAAATATTAATAGCTTTTTGTTATATTTTTTGTAATATATGTGTTTGAATTATGATATGGACTATTTTTTTACATTGTAGGCTTAGATGTATGAGGTCGTCCCTGTCTTCGCTAAGGCGGGGGGGAGGAGGAAGAGTTCGAATGTGCGACAACAATTTCCTAGGATGTTGCGGTGGCATGTCGAGAAGTGTACCCATTGGGATTATGACCAAATAGACATTGAAATTGAAGCGGCTCGAGTAAGATTAAAAGATTAAGCTTTTGAATATGCAGTTGCTTTAAAATGTCGCTTCAATCGGATTGATTTTATTTCTTATTGTAGGGAGTCGTCCGTCCCTTTCTCACCACTACTAGGGATGAAGCAGAAAAGGAGTATGTCGCATCTTTTGAACCATTGGAGGATGAAAGGGATGAACGGATAGACTACCTGATGCGGGACCTAGCAGGGGTCACGCATGAGACGGTAGTTACAGGGCCACTGCTTGAGAATGTAGTTGACGCCGAGGATGATGAAGCTCCAATCGGCGGGAGGGAGGAGGAGGAGGAGGAAAGGGAGGAAGAGGTTCGTATGCCTCAGTAAACTGGTATAACAAGTACCGCTTTGTCGAGACGTCGGCATCGGGAGAATGAGGTGGTTGACCTCATAAACAGCCTGTTTGAGAGTTTTACAACAGTCGATTATGACAGGTTTGACAAGATGGAAAAGCAGATGAAAAGGGTGAAGGAGAAAGTGGATAAGGTGGCAGAGAAAGTTGGTATGGTGGAGGAGGAAATTGGTGGAGTATTAAAGGTGGTTGAAGTGCAACCTGGGCTAAAAAGAGAGAGCCGAAAGAGCAAGTTTGTGAAATCGCCTTACATGGTAGTAACACATGGAAAGAAGAGGAAAATTAAGAAACAAATAGAGAAAGAAGCAAAAATAGAGGAGGTTAAGGAGGTTGGTGGATGAAGTGGGGTAGTAATAATGGAGGAGGGTGAAGTGGGAGGCGAAAGAAGCGGGGATGTACAAATGGAGGAAGGGGGAGGAAGTGGGCAAGCAAAAAT